ACGGGCCGGGGGGGGAATGGCGCTGGGGGCTGCAGCGCATGCGCGAACATGTGATAAATCCAAATTAACAGAATGGATGTACACAAGTAGGAATTCTGAAACAAAGAGTCACTTTAAATGCATTATTGTTATTTCAGGTTGGGTCTACCTTTTCCAAAATGCTTAGGAACAGATGTTTTGGATTTCAGGTTTTTTTGCGGGGTGGAGGAGTTGAATTTTGGAATACTTATATTTGCATATATGGAATGGGACCCAAGTCTAAACACAAAAATCATGCTTCATAGAGGCTTTATAAACATAGCCTGAAGAAAATATACAATATTTTTAATAATTTTGTGTAAAGAATCATAGACTCATGAAAGAGACCACAAGGGTCATCCAGTCCAATTCTCTGGCATGCAGGGAATCATGCAATAATGAAAAAAGTTTGTGTACACTGAATCATCAGAAAGCAAAGGTGTCACTATCCCCTTCCACCCATTAAAAAAGTTTTGGTTTCTGGAACATTTTGGGGTTCCAGATAAGGGAGAATCAACCTGTATTTATATTTATATGGCACCTTTCCTCACAGGAGCCCAGGATTGCGTAGAATTTACTCAGAAAATTTATTTAAAATTACAAACCTAAAACCACAAATAGGCATGCTTTAACATCTGCTTCATTTAGCAATAGTGCTTAATAACAGCAATAGTGTTCATTTAGCAATAATGTAGTGTTCATTTAAACAATACAATAGTCTCAGATTAATCGACACATTTTAATTTGAGAGTGTTTTAATACTCTATTCAAATGAAATTGATGTGATAAAGCATGTGGGTAAAAGTGGGATGCTTTTGTAATAACAAGGGCTGTTTTTACAAATCATACCGCAAACTTTCCTTTTGTTTACCTGGAAGTAAGCTGTGCTCCGTTCTGCTGAACTTACTCCAGGGTAAATGCTCCAGGAATTTACAAGGAGACCAATTAAGGGTTTTCTTAACTTGGGGCACTTTCAACCTGAGCACAGCATCAGTTTTCGGTACACACAAACACACTCCGTTACCCTCAACAGGCAGACATGGGTCTTGAATAGAATTTTTTAAATGATTTTATGTATTTTAATCTATGTTTTACCTTGCCTCAAGGTAAAGAAGAGGTGGGTAAGAAAATAACAACAACAACAACAATTTGCTGTTGTGCACCTCCAAGTCATTTTTTACTTATGGCAACCCTCAGAAGAACATATCATAGGGTTTTCTTGATAAGTTTCTTCATTGCCATCCTCTGAGGCTGAGAGAGTGTGCCATGCCCAAGGTCACCCAGTGAAGTTTTGTGAACAAGAGGGGATTCGAATCCAGGTCTCCAGAGTCCTAGTCCAACAATAATTATTGCTATTATTTATTTATTACCCTCTTCTCCCCAGGGATTGAAGCAGGGAACAACAACAATTAACAAATACACAACATCAGTTAAAAAACACATCAGTTAAAACACACATCAATTTAAAACAACAAAGAAAATATACATGTATTCAAATAATCCACATTTAAAATTTACAATTCAAAAATCATCTGGATAAATCTGCCTCAAGAGACTGGTCAACAACAACAACAACAACAACAACAACGTTGTGTGCCTTCAAGTCATTTCCACTTAATGGCAACTCTAAAGCAAACCTATCACAGGATTTTCTCAAGCAAGTTTCTTGGGGGGGGGGGGGTTGTGGTCCTCTGAGGTTGAGAGAGTGTGACTTGCCCAAGGTCATCCAATGGGTTTGCATAGCTGAACAGGAATTTGAACCCTGGTCCCCAGAGTCGTAGTCCAACATTCAAACCATTACACCACGCTGACCCACAACCACCACCACAACAATAACAATGCTTTTAATTAAATGATCACAGAGGAATGTCT